GCTGCAAGATGAGGTGATATCAAAGTAACTTTAATTAAATATATATAGACATTAAAATACTAAAGATTATCTCCAGGCACTGAATGCCTTCAAACTAGCTCTGAATTCCAGGGAAAATGAAGGCAGGCCACAGCCAGACTTCACACTGAAATGACAGCCACGCGCTGCAGTTGAAGGTTCATGTAAATGACTTTAAGAAGAGTTTTATATATGTTGTTCTCAGTATTTAATGCCCCAAAGAATAATTTCTAAATTACTATATGATACAGTTCTTAGAACATGCACTGGGAAAGCTTTTGTAGCTAAGAAAATTATTACATAGTAATGAGCTTTGTAAAGCATAGTTTTCCGTAATAATGAAGAAAAATACACAAATACCATAAATAGGTTCTTTTTCTTTCACTTTCATCTTGAAAAATAACTCGGAACAGAGAGGATCCTTCAAACGTGCCCCACTGCTGCCATCCTGTGGCAGGCACCTGCATTTCAGATCGATGCTTAGAAAGCAGGGAGTAAGGAAAAAGGCCTTTAAAAGCTACTTCAGGAAGCAAAATTTATTCGGGGAAAAAAAAAGGAAAAAAAGCAGTATCTTTCCCAAACGGACAACAGAACTTCATTGCAAGGAATACTGTCCTTGGAAATAATACAGTCCTTTATACTCTCCTAGTAATAGTAGCCAGAGATCTACATTTGTCTGGGAAATTGCTATGGACTCAGAAAGCAACAGGGGTATTTTACAGTCTCAAAGCCTAATCCAGAGCGGAACAATTGCAAGGCTACTTACAAGGGATATCAAGATTTATGAGAAATGAGACTGGACTCAAAGGACAGGAACAGTCTTAATAGTAACCTGATCTCCCCTCTCAACATTTGAGATATTCAAATGCTAATTTATAGTAGAGGAAGCAGAGGAACCACCCTCAAGAGAACGATCCTCATCCTCATCACAAAAAAGGGGCCAATTGGTGACACACTCTTGGACAGGCTCCTGACACACAGCCTGGGCAGCTGCCTCAGATGTGCTGCGGGAGGGCACAGAGCTTGCCTGAGATAGAGCTGGCCTGTCCTTCTCTGGAGATCTTCCGAACCCGCTTGGACGCAGTCCTGTGCCACGTGCTCTAGGTGACCCTGCGTGTGCAGGGGGGTTGGACTAGATGATCTCTAGAGGTCCCTTCCAACCTTAAGCATTCTATGATGCCCCCCAGGCACCACAGCGAGGGAGGTTAAGGTGCCTTGGGCACGAAACGCACAGTGTCATTCCCCCTGGGGGGATCGCTGTTGGAACAGAGCGTTCCCAAATGGACTGATACACAATCAGTTTTTCTATATTACAAAAAGCACTCAATGGGCATCTTATAAACATCTTCCCGAATAAGAAAAACACGAACACTTCCCTTTGCTCCAAACAGTTTACCTTTGCTGAGTTTTTCAACCTGCTGTCTTGAATGACTAAATTATGCCATACTGCTTTCCAGAAATAAGAAGCTGAATATAGAAATTTGCATACAGCACTAGGAAAAAAACCCAACATTAATGCTTTATTCCATAAAGATAACAAAAGGCCTGAACCAAAAATTGATTTGAATAAAAATAACAACAAAACAACCACGAGGTCTGTTGGAATTAGCATTCAGGGCAGAGAGGATTCTGTTCAGCACTTGCAGAGTACGAGAAAGAACAACAAAATACAGCCACAAAAAATATCATTAATTCTCCTGGTTCATCAAGTTTCTTCATGCGTTTTTGTTAAGACTCGACACTGACCAGCTAATGAAAGCTATCACAGAACAATAAATGGAAATAGAAGGTAAAACGTCCAGAGTTAGGCTACAGCTAAAAAGAACAAGAACAAAGGAACAAGATATCACATTTCACCAGCAAAGATAAAGCATCTAAAAGCGCAAAGCATCCCTTTTAGTTGATCAGTCCTATGCGATAAGAAAACTGCTGCAGGGAAGATTCTCCAAGAAACACCACTCCATCGCTGAATGTGCTTTATATAACCCTCTCACTGATATCTACCAACTTGTAAATACTGTGAAAATAAATTGCATTATCTTAAAACTACAAGAGGCAGATGTACCTCGCTGACAATTGGACTTTCCCTCAGCCTCCCCTACGCCTCCAAGGCAAACAGAACACAAGATTCACCTGATGTAAGACTCATGATTCATGTCATTTTGAGATTTCATTTTCCTAATGATACAGTTTTTAAGGGTTTTTGAAAGATTTTGTATCCAGGGATAGCTTGGAGTCACACATGAAAGATTAAAAATGAGAATGGATATCCAGACCAGAAAATACTTCCAAACCTACACAAAATTGGTTACTATTTCATTCTAGCCCCAGCACTCAGAAGATTCATTTTTCAGAATGAACAGATGGTTAATAAATTTGGGCTTCAGTGGAACAGAATTGAGAATACTTCACTAAAAAGTCTTGTTTTTGGAGGTCCTTCCTGGCCGAATTGGGTAGATACTGTTTTAAGTGAAGCTGCTGATCACTGCGGCCCATTACTACCCTAGCTAGATCGGCAGCCTCGGTGCTCCCCGGGCTCTGCACGCTTTGGCACTTCCCGCATTAACACCAGGATCTGAAATTACCCTCTTGGAAAGGTGCAGGCAGCCACAGCGAGTTATGCAGTGCCCAGCTATGGGCTTGCTTATCAACCCTGTTGCAAAGCAGCCAGGAGGCCAGTGGTGGGCCTAGCTGCAGCTTCCAAGTGACGTGTGTGCAGAAAGCAGACCAAGGTGATCCAGCCTGGAAGCTGCAAAGACATGAACTGCCACAGTAAAATCCATGCTCTAAAACAAAGGCTTCAACGACCTGGCAGAGTTTACAGCAAATATTCTTTATCACTATTGTCTACAGCAGCTGAGAGTCGCATTAGACCAGCATTTCTCAGCAGAAGGTAGCTGGTATCAATACTGTTTTTCTGAACTTTCTGAGGAAATGTAAACTTCTAGCATTCCTAACTACCTGGGGCACACTGACCACATTCAAAATGTAATTCTAGCTAGCAAATGGGTAAGCTAATCAAACAAAATATTTGAATCTCATAAAATGGATTGGGTAAAATTAAAGTAATCTATACATATAAATACCTAGTTTTAGATAATTTAAGATGTACTGATTTTAAGGACACTTCTCTCACACAACTCTTCATACCAAAACGGCTTATTTTCAGCAAAGGATAATCCTTGCATTTTTACCAAATCTCTTCTAGCATACCTGTCAGCAACTGTTCTTGGGTGGCCATTTGCAGCTATCACACATTGAAAATACAAAATAACAATGAGAATCCACCTCCTTAGGAAAATACAAGATTCAATAATAGATCTGTAAAAAGGATGCAGAATGGGGAATCTAAAGTACATAAAACTCAGAAAAGCAGGCTTATATGGTTATTTTTATTCGCATTTTTCAGATATACTTTTATATAGGGGTTTGTGTGTGTGTATACATATATACAAAATATTTGCCACTGCTGGCAACTGTTGTTTAATGTCAGGGTTCTATATACAAGGTAAACAGGTACTTTCCAAAATATTGTTTTGTCTGAGGAGGGACATACACTCAAACAGATGTTTAACTGGTCAAAGATCCTTTGATTTTTTTTCTGTTTGTTTTCTTTGAAATTTTACTACTTTTAGTATTTTGTGAATTCATCCAAACCATCCAATTTTGCCACAACACTGCAAATTTTCTGGAAGTGCTTCTGCAATTCTCCCCTTAATTTGCTTCTTTCCTGTTCTATCCTAAATCACTTCAGCCCCCAACAGTAGAACTGGCCATCTCTGAATATCTTTGAAGACAAAACGGGCTCACAACATGCACTCTTTTTCTAAAAAAAGAAGTAAAATGTGGTTACCTCCTAGTTAATTTTTATGTGCCAACAGTTAAAAGAAAGTGTTTCTATACAAAAAACATGCCACGGGAACACCTCAGCTGAAATAAATGACTGTTTTCTTTTTACATAAGCCATTAGCAAAGCAAATACAGCAAATAAAAACTTCCACATTATGGCATACATATTCAGGAAAGCTGTTATTCCTGGTCAGGCTGGCAAGAATCTGTTGGTGGTGAGGTGGTGTAAGGAGAGAAGAATTTTGAGGTCCGTAAGTTTTACCAATCAAAATGAATACTTGCTATAACATTAAAAAAAAAATGATGAAAGTATTCAGAGAAAATTTTCTTCTCAATTAAAACAAAAAGAAACAAATGCTTGAAGACTTATGTTTATCTCTTTAGAAACTTATCTTCCATTATTTTTACATATACAGTATGTAGAGCAGAGTGTAGAATACATAGGAATCCGACGTAGAAGATAGCTTCTTTATTTTTACTAATATTCCTTGTATGGCAATCTATTCTTTAAGACTGGCAAAGTGACTTGTGACAAGTACTTAATGCCGAGGTCATGGGGTAGGTTTGTTTTGCAGGGTTTTAAAAAACACATTCTCATCTGTTTGAATGCAGATACATCATTACAGAGGAGACAGTGCATATAATTTACAAGAAAGATTTGCAGTAAAACTTAGAGATACACAATGACTAAAGGCTTTGTATAATTCTCAGTGGGAACCTTGGTGCATGTCTTTTAAACTGTACATATAGTTTTAAAAAGATATAGCCTTTTAAAATTTTTACACATTGAAGATTTTCAGTAAGATCAAACACTTAATAAGAACAATAAAATTATAGCAGCTAGATGGGAGAATGTCATCTACATGAGCATTCATAATTAAAACAAAACCAATAAATATAGAAATTTTACCTTAGTCTGATGTTTTTGTTAAGCAACAAGGATAGAAAACACACCGATTAAGAAAAACTGTGAAAGAATCTGGATTTGTTCACTTTATGGACAACACTGTTGTATAGTTCAATTTAAGTTATTATTTTAAAAGAAGTGTTGAATATTGATTTTCACCAACACTGTCCCAAAGTTGCTTCCCGAAGAACTCGTCTGTATCTTTATGTACATGCCACACTATGATCCTATGATTGCATTTTTGCTATAGGAACTAAGGATGGATGTAAATGTAGATTCCTTAAAACTAGGCTTATTTTATTTACACTATTCAAATTTTACTTTTCCTTCCAACATCAAAATGTGCAGGAGGATTTAGTACATGCTATACAATGTAAAAATAGACTTTAAAAAGCCAGAACAATGTGAGTAAAACTGTACAGTGTTTGTTCTCTGCTTGAGTTCATTGCACTATCTAGTTTAAGTGGACGAGTTGTCATGCTCAGAAGACTTACTGTAGGATCAGAATATCCACACACACACACAGAGGAGGTAAATGCTTACTGGCTTAGGCATAGCGCCAAATGAAAACAAGATACTACGAGTTATATCCACAGAAAAGCTTCTCATCAAAGGAAGGAGCATGGCTAATTCTGCAGAAAGGCAGCCCTCTTCATGTAGGACACAGCACTGCAAAAGAATAGTAAATATATGCGGTTAGTCCATATAAAAATATTGTATACACAAACTGAAATATTTAATGTCAAGTTCTACCCCATCAGTAACACATTAAATCTAGACTTCAACTGAAACTCTCAGATAGCATCCTCTTCTCAAAAGAGAAATATGTGACAAAAGCCACTATCTTTAACTATTATTACCCAGAAATGAGTTAACTAAAGGTCATGTCTTAAACAGTGCTTTTTGAAGTGCTTTGTTAGAAAATGGAACATTCAATAAAAAGTGAGAGCATGCAGCTAAATTTTAAAATGTGCACTGAAAATCTGGGATTCTAATCCTACATTCTAAATTTGGTGTGTATTTGAACCACAGGGTGGTAAAACAAGACATGTCCTTCATGTGTTTCTCATTCCTTTCACATGTAAGGGACACAAACCTTGGAACAATCCAGCTTTCAAATCAATGCTAGCACAACACAAAAGCAAATAAAGAAGTCAGGTGTGAAAAGAGAAAAATTTCAAAGACAAGAAAATAAATGTTCTTATCTGAAATACTGGTATAATTTAAAAATGGAACACAAGTTAAACTCTTGCTTCGTTAATATAAAACAAAAAAAAATTAAAGGTTCTCCCTGAAGCTTGCAACTTTCTGTCAAATTGGGTTGAAACAGACAAACACTTATGAGACTGAAAAGATACACAACATGACTGTACAGAGGCATTTTCATCAGAAAGCAGCATAAAGATGCATATTTCTGAAATTACAGAAAGATGCTACTACTTTGTGCATTGTGATTTATTTGGCAAGTACAATAATGCATCAAAAGACAGAGAGAAAAGCCTCTAAAAAGACCTGAATGGATACAGTCAATACACAATGCTTTCATTGAAAGACCTAGTACCTGGTGTTGTCTGATATCCAAACAGAACGCAACCAGAAGAGATGACAAAAATATCTGTGCTCCCTGTTTTACAGCTTAATTTGTGCACAAGAAAGGTCACAACTTAATGTTTCCAAAGCACATCATATTTGTTTTGATCAAAGAAGATTCGTAGAAAGACAAGCATAAATATCTCTCATTAGCCAAGTAGTTCACTTTGCTACCAGCTGCAATGTGATAATACACTCTATAAAAATCAAGAGTTTCATAATACCAGTTTGATATTTCTTTCCCTAACAAATGCCTTCCCTCAACTTCTCTCAAACCAAAGATCTGCTTCATGATCTCTAAGGATAAGATACGGTAACCATATTAACACATTAAAGGAGTTATGCTCAGAAAAGTAAAGCACATATGCAAATGCTTATCAATTTCATGTTAGCATATATCTCTATTCTAAATCTACAAATTATACTATGATTCATATGCTAGTGTGGGAAGAATTGCAAAGCAAATCACTAAATCCCTTTCATTATTATTTCAGGATGAAAATGTTCACTGCCAAGTTAAAAGAAGAGAACTCCAAAAGACAAAACTTTCTCAACAATAATTTAAGCTGCCTCAAAAGCAACACAAACTGTACCAAGCTACCTAGAACGTGTACCTGGGCAAACTTCAGGAATTTACATCTGAAAATCTCTTCCCTACAGAAAAGGTCCTGGGGTGAGCTATGTGATCACTGGGAAAAGAGACTTAAGTATGAGAACAAACTGAAGTGGGGATATTTTTAATGGGACACAAGAGGGCAGTAGAAATTGGGAAAAGAGGATCCTTAAAAAGGCAAACATCACAAACTATTTCCAAGCTAGTAATCTTATTTGGAAGTGCGTATGGAAGGAACTTTTTCTGTCCCCTAACGTGAACAGTATAATGCCTCTGTGGAGGCAGTGCCGAGTTGCACTGGCTATTTTTTACTTCTTTATTAAGCTACAGTTTTACAGACATTTGTTTCTTGTTCTAGGGATTTTTACTTCCAGTGCTTCAGATGCTTTAGCTGACATTGTTACAAACATATAATTTTACATGTTACTGGAGGGGAAGAAAGCAGAAGAATAGCCCAGGGTGGTGACATGGTAGGTCACTGGAATTCTCCAGTTCCAGTCCCTTGCTCTAGTTCTTGAGCAAACTGTCTTGCCTACACAGATCTACTCCATCATCAAATGAACATTTGAGTGTTAGGCAATAAACACTCTGTGGTCTTCCTATATGATCCAAATTTAGTCTCTCACAAATTTCTGAATTATTTCAGCTTTTAGATCTGTTCAAGATGGTGACATTTCTATAAAACACTTCAGGAAATTCAGAAGATATAAATGTAATAGCTTTTGCTTCTATCACAAGCAGCAGCAGTGGATTTGGAAAGGTTTCTTGCTAAACAAACACTGGCTGCTTGATCTTATGGTTACATTTACTTTTCTATTTTCACAGCACTTTATTTGACCCATTATAGTATGTGAACAATCCTATGACAATTGTTAGAACAGTATTTTTTCCTCTCATTTTAATTCAACACATGATTCTAAACAATCTAAACAGTGTATCAAAAGTAATGGATAATATCTGGAGAAGATTACCGCTAATTCTGTGGATAGCCTTAAATTCAGAAGAGATTAGATTTTTCTCTTTTTAAGCAGTATTCAGAAAATGAATCTGCTGCTTCAAAAAAACATGGTTAGGGACCTTTAGAAGATTCTTTTTTGCATGTGTAACACCAGAAATGTTAAAGCTAGAAAGAAGGCTGTAACTGCTGACAAGATTCCACACTAACAGGATTCCCCAGAAAGCTCCATTTGCCCTATTTTCACATAGACTTTACTGCCTGCTCTTCTGTTTGAAGACTGGGTAGACCTAGAAACAATTTTCTCTCTGTTTCTTTTGGAAAACAAATTCAAAATCCTCGCCAACACCTTCACCTCACCAATACATCTCAAGTCTTCCCAGAGAAGCAAATGGATAGTTTTGAAAGCAAATCAGTCATTTTACTTTGAAATTCAGGAAGTTGGAATTTCAGGTACAAATGCTGAGATTAAAGTTGCTTCAAGCAATTGCTTAGAATCTTCTAATCCCCCTTGCCAGTCTTTAAAAATAACTTCCAGATAACAGACAGGCGTCTGGGAATATTCTATAGTATCTATGAAGCATCAGTGAGACTTGAAGCCAGAGGCCTTACAGGCAGAAAGAGGAGAGAAGCAGACTGCAACTTCAGAAAGCAACTGGAAGGTCAGGCCTCCTCCACAGGATACATGGGTGCTGCAATCTAATGCCTCCAGCTGAGCTAGCACCATTTATGCAATCTAAACACAGCAACATAAAGCTCTGTGCTGATTAACTTCTATGTTGCTGATATTGTAACACAGACAGACCCTTCAGGAATGAAATTGTTATAGCAGAAGGGAAAAATTATCCTTTCCTTTCAGTATTGAGTGATGCTGGCAAAAGGTTACTTTCTGCACTCCAACCATTTCTATTTTACAATTTTAAAGCAAAAATGCTTCCCACAAAGTGATGAAAGAATGGTCTGATTTGACCTACTGACTCTAACACTCGTTAGAGTGTTAAGTTCCTGCGATTGTCACAACCAGCTGGTAGGAAACCCTTAGTCATTTCAAAGTCATGCACACGCAGAGGCAAAGGTAGGTGAAGAGTACAGTGTCCAACTTCCCTTATGTCATGTTACGGGCTCAGCTCAGCTACTCTTCCAGTAAAAGTTTTCTGTGCAGAAGATTCCTCAGTTTCCCTAGGCAGCCAGGTCTTTGTCTTAATAAACTGAAAGCTTTTCTGGATAACTGTGTCTAAAAAATAGGTTCTCTGTAAAGCAATAAGCTCATCTATATATAGCAAAGCTATATATAAGGTTATAAGGATACATATCTCTCTCTCTATTTAAAGACATCTATCTAACGTAAGGATATTCAGAAAGGGTAAATAAAAACTGAAGCAACCATGAGAATCAACTAAAAGGATCTCCATGCCCTTAACTGTACCTCAACAACCCCTCTGAGCTGTAGAAACGATTCTCTTTCAGCAGGAAGTCTGTCAGTTTCTGCAAAACCGTATGGCTCTCTTTTGGCTATTTTTGAAACTAATAGCACATTAAATTTTATCTACTACTTTAAAATCATGGTATTTTCATACGTCTGCAAGATGAGAATGATTAGAAATTTTAGGGAAAAAAAAAGTGAAATGACTGTATTTGAAAAAAAAAAAAAAAAAAAGGGTTTTGAAAAATATGGCTCCAAATTAACAGAACAATTTTGCATCATACAAAATTGAAGCAGAACATGATGAATTTGGGGGCTGTAAATAAAAAATCAATTTTCTGTACACCTGTTTGCCCAGATCTTGTAAGTTCTGATGTACAGGCTAAGCCTTAAACACTAAAGAAGATGGGACCATTTCTATGCCAATATTAAGTGAGAACAGAAGCATTAGCATAATCTTGGTAAAACTGAAATCACAAAATGACTAAAAGTAATTAAAGAATGTGGAAACTATCTGTAACATTTCCTTAAAGCACAAGACAGTAGCAGTTCTTATTGTTTGACACACTATTAATATACTCAATGCATTAGAATGGAAAAATGTATGACTAGTAGACAAGCCTTATAAAGAAGGGATCACAGAAGGAATAACATGTAAAATAAGTATGATTAAGTATTGACCAGAAGGTGAATATAACTTTTTAAAGTAAGGCTATAACCATTTCAGTTAGTCTATTACCATAGACAATTTGAGTTCTATTTCTGAAAAAAATTGTATATTGTATGTTTTTAAGCACACCATTTTATTTTATAAATCAAGCTGCTCTGTTATTGACATCTTTCAGTTACTTGAAAATAATGCCCTATGTTTCTACTATTTTATACCATCACAAAAATAAATAAATAAACAAAACACTGTATGAACTATATGTTCACAAGCCTCTGATATGAATGTAACAAAATCTAAGTAAAGCTTTTGTCTGAAACAAGTCAACATAATTCATGAGCACTGCAGGACTACTCTTTTCAAATACATATTGCAGTCATTAACAAGGATCTTTTATTTTAAATTGTTACGGATACAAGCTAAGAATCAAACTTACCTTTTAAAATATAGTCTGTTAACAAGCTTGGCACTTTCTCACTATCCTCCTTCATGGCGTGAAGGACTAAAGAGGTAAAGAAAGAAAAAAACAGTAATTCAGATATTTGCTCATAAATTAAAAGATATCAATCTTGAAAAAGAAATCAAAAATAAAAACAGAGTGAGGACGTTTCATGCACTCATAGGGATATTACTACCAAATCAGCAAGAAAACTTCATTAATATCAAAAGATACCATAAGATGCAACATCTGCACCTTCCCCTTCTATAATTCTCACTGAACTCCATAGTAGGTGGATGCATGTAACCCATTTTTCATGGTTAAGCAATTACAGTAAATGTCACCAATCTAAAAATAATACACTTAATATTTCAGTGTTAACTGCTTATCTTAACTGTTCAGAAAAATAATATTTTCTATTTCATGTTTTTCCATGCACTAGGAAGAAAAAAGAAAAACTATTTAAACAAAGGAAAAAGATATGATTTTTTCCCCCTCATTCTACTTCACAGGTGACATAATTCAGAAAATTTAAAATGGGATATTTAAGGTCAGATTTTTTAAAACTTTTATACTGAAATTATAAACCCAATAATACTTTATACACACACACACACACACACACATTTTTTTCTCTCCATTACATCCCCATCAGTTGGTTTTATTAGGTCAATTCGTTCTTGGCTTCAAAATCCATGTAATTCTATGAGGCTGGGCATAGTTGTAACTGTTTTTACTTAACCATTTTCACTATAATTTAGATCTGACTACAGTAAGTAAGCTTTTCAAAACATTGACCATTAATATTCCCTGAAATCTTTTGGTGAAACCTGAAGCTCCAGATAGAACAACCAGAGATTTACACAAACAAATGTAGAAAGCATTTTTAGCATTTCTGACTGTATTTTACCAGAAATAAAAAAGGCCATCCTCTCCATGAAAATCTCTTCAAAAGAAAGTCACAATATCTAAAATTGAAAAAACCTAACTGCTGCTAAGGGTTGAAAATCTTAAAGAAGAGCAGGTTCCATTATTTATCCATTATTTATTTTTTCTCCTTGATCTTTACTCTAAATCATGCAATAACATCAGAGAAGCACTGCTATAAATGAGCTGATGATTTTTTTCCCCTCAAGAACTGCCATTGTTACTAGCTGTAAAAAAAAAAAACACCACTTGAAATATATTATTGCATTTAGAATTCACTTAGAATAATGCCCAAGTGCCATTATTGTGAAGTATGGATAATTTTGTGTTGATACTTCTAAGAAGGAAAAGCTTTTAGAACAACTCATAAGCAAGAACAAAGTTTCTAATCTGCATCTGAAAGAGAAGAAGCAAACAATAATAACCTAAAGACTGAAAATAATTTTTAAGACAGGTATGTAACTATACTATGTAACAAAAAATAATCACCCCAAAAAGAATCACTGTGGATTTTTTAAAAGGCATCAGAGTTTTAACACCTTTTGGTTTCTCATTTGTTCAAAAGGCATTGTGTGGAAGCACTGCATAAACGTTAAAAATAAAAGATTTTTAATTAAACTCTTGACAGTTCAAGAAGGTAAAAAGGCTACCATATTTAAGGAGGATATTGATAGATGATTCTTGTAAAATACTTCTTGAGCATAGCTTCTACTTGCTTTATTACACTCAGCACCAATTTCTAGAACTAAAGATCTTACAGAATATGGAAGACATTCGAGTTTTAAGGAATATAATTAAGGCTGATTATAAACAACATTCCTTTCCTTAAATAACAAAAATGTTTGGAAAACATTGGGCTCTATCCAAGATACTGCATTTACTTCAGAGAACTTTCCTAGTACCCTGAAAGTACTCTTATTATGAAGCAAGCAGCCTAAAGCCCTTTCTCACTCACAATTTTCAATTATTTCTAAGTGATGATTTGCATTCTACAATAGTTTATATTGGCAAAAAATATTAGCTTGCAGACTGGGACAAGAACTCTTAATCTAAGTATGCCAAGCAGTTTACTGGCGAACAGCACCGACCCAGTGCAATTGCCTGTTGTAGGTTTCTCCCAAGCATATTTCAGGTTTGACAAAAAACATTCTGCCCATTAACAAGAAGCTTCTAATTTTATATAAAATTCCTGCTTTATTGTTCTAGAATTGTTAATTCTTTATGAAGTATCATCAACACGAACAAATCAAAAGCACAGAATCATAGCACATAGAGGTGTCATAAACCCCAAATCCCTCATGCAAGGATTTGGGCTTCAAACATAAGAACAAGCAGTTTATTTCAATTTTTATGTTGAAATAAGATATCAGTGTTCATAGCCATGGAATAAGACGCAGCTTTTTTTTTTTTTTTTAAAGTTTTAATGTCTGTCTTAACAACAGCACAAAATGTGAGTCAGGAGGTCTGCAACTGAAATCAAGGATCATGTTTCAGCCACATCACAGAAGGCAATACTGCTAATGCTCTTTACAGTGTACACTTGTATCTATCATTTTGTTAATAAACAATGAAACAACGCAATCCATTTTCAGAATGTTTTGCCCTTTTTTTTTTTTCTCCTTAATATTGAATGCTGACAATAGCTTCAGGTGAAACTTAGAGGATAAAATTTATCTGGAGGAATACACATGGAAAAAAAAACATGATGTATTGTATGAAATGCCAGACAAGTGTGTCTATGTAGAAAAATAAGGCATGTAAATTCTCTATTTAAATGTTTCATGTACTTCAGAATTTATCCAATATTTAATTTCTTTTTCAATAAAATATACCAACAACCTTCTCCATCCCTCAGTCAGCTGTGGAATGAGACCTGTGTAGCTCAAAAGTACTTTAAGGACAACTTAGTTACAAAGCCCTGCACTGAAAACTGGTCAAATGGCATTCCAGCATCTATTTCTTTAACTTCCTCCTATAAATCTAAAATGAGGGAGATGTTATAATCCCAGAGATATCTGTTTAATCATCTTAATAATCAATCATTTTTAAACACAACAACATTTTTAATGCCCACTAAGGTAAGACAGACAGAGAGGACTTAGATTTTATAAATAATTTTTGAGAATAAAACCAAACAAATGCTAAAAGAACCTAATTTTAACAGGGGAACTTAAAGCGCTGTCAAAATTCAGATTTGGCTTCTACTCCCAAATTACTGTAATTTATTGACCAACAAACCAGGGGCAAGCAGGCTATTTTAAAGGTACTCAAATATAATCATTACATGGTTAATTGTAAGTCTCCCAACACTCAGTCTAATTTTCAGAACTTATTAATATAGAATAACCTCAACAAAACATAAGGAACAGGGGTCTGTATTGCCAACTTTCATGATTTCCATAAAGTGCCCACTGAAGTAACATGAGATCTTTGCTTTTTGATTCATACAAGTTTTTAGTCTTGAGGGTGAAGGGCAGGGGAGATTAAAAAAAAAAAAAAAAAGCCAAGATGGTTAAACCTCACAGTTTTAAAGAAATGACCTAGAATAGGCAGGAGAGAATTGTTTGATTCATTGTTTCTGAGCAACTACGGTTGGCAATACAAGGAGGCATATATCATTTGGAAACTTCATATGCTCACTTTTGGTTAATGTTTGAAGGTCTTCAACAGATGGAGGTCCATTTTTCTTCTCATAAGGAATGACAGTTGTTAGATACTGTCAAAAGAAAGAGAGAGTTGCTTTACAGGTATTTCGTGCAATTTATGTTGATTGTATTATCTTTTGCAAAAACTGTAGCCATTAAAAGTCATAAATTAAACCCTTTAAAAAAAACCATATCTTTCAAGATATTAAGATTCAACCTCTCCTATCCCAAAACCAATCTCACAGAATCCAACTTCTGTTTCTTGGCAAATCATGTAAAAATTATTTTAAAATTCACACAGTTGAACACTAAGTTTTCTGAAGCTTTCAACAAGAAATTTCTCTGTTGTATTTCATCCTCACCAACAAGCAGTCCTTCAGAAACATTGCAAGTACTTTAAAAATGCTGTGAAACACAAGCTGAAAGAACAACCTTCCCATCACCTCCTACTCAAACAAGAGCTTTCAAATGCAAATGAAAAATTTTCAAATATTCTCTCCCTCTCAGCCATGCCCGTCAACCAAAAAAAATCAAAAATATGTAAGTAATAGTAGCCATTTCAAAATGTGAAACAAATTTCCTCTTTCCAGGAACAACATTAAAATAACATCCCTTCCACAAAAATACTTCTAATTTGTTCCTGAAACTGAAAACGTTTAGCTTTTTAAAAGACAATAGGCACAGATACAGGCTGTAGCGTAAGCTGCTCACGTTTGTACATTTGAGACAACAAGCATTTGAAAATTCTTCAAACTTGGCATTTCACTGTGTTTCAACAGTCTCAAAAAAGACATGGGATTTCCTCAGGGATTGCTCAGCTCTTAAGTATGAGAAACATTCCCAGGATTTGGATAGATCAAAGAGCATTTGCTTGCACCAGCTCTGAAGCTCTTCTGCACAAAGAAAATCAGACAACTCCACAACTGGATGAAACTGAAAACAGAAACCTCCCAACTCTATATACTTCTACCCAAATGTAACAAGGCAAGTCTAATTAAACCATGTTAGCCCATTATTCGCATTCCTATTTAATTTCTTATTTTTAATAGTGAAGTATGCTGACAGATTGTTTTGGGTCAACTCCATTCGCATTTGATAGCTTTTGTTCTTCTCAGTTTTGTCTAAGTAAATCAAAGTGACAATTTTAAGTCTTGTAGGACTTTCATATCTGGAGTGCAACCAAATTTTTCTTTCAAATTTTTGAAGCAACTTCATCAAAGATTTTTATTAAATGTGCTCGGGCTACATTTTATTTTGAAGCATATATGAACACACGTTCTTAAAGAAGCATTTCAAAAACCCTGCAATTGCTTCTTGCAATGAGAGAATAACACCTAAATTTTAAAAGTAGGGCACTGGTTTAGTAAAGTGACTAAAATCAAACAACACCTTTACTAGGTGACTTTACCCAAATCCCATTCAAGCCTGGTTTTCTAGGACTAGTCAGTAAAGCGCTGATAATATTATTTCCTACATTTCCCCCCTATTTTTCATTTTAAGCTCTTATTATGTATAAGACATATATATTTTTTAAATAGCTATACTCTAAAACCCTAGTTTTAGATCCAGTAGTATCAATAAATACACTACATAGGAAATCCAGAAAATACAGAACTGCTAGACTGATAAAAAGAAAATGATGCTCTGAGAGAAACTTCTAGTCTTTACTGGAAAGTAGGACAGCATGACTTAAAAAAAAAAAAAAAATCAATTCCAATAGAAGAAAACACCTCCTGTTAGATTTTGTCAGTGAAGCACACAAAATAGCCTCTTCATAACAGGCAAGTTTTTGAATAATTAAACATTAAATATCGTTATTAAAAAAAAGTGTGCTAAAAACTCAACAATAGTATAAACATCACTTTATCAGAATAAAGAATGCAATTAATAAGATGTTACAGTTCTGAAAGAAACAAGTATTACTTTAAAATAAACAATAAGAATTATGTTCCTTAGATATCTGTAACATCTACAGAGATACTACTAAGGTTGGGCTTCTGTGCTGTATGTTTCAACATTTAAATAGTTAATAAAAAGATACAAACTTACCTTTAGCTAATATACTATGTATCAGCAATCTGCTTTGCATACAACTGGCTGCTTTTAACATAATGTAGTTTTCAAAGGCAAAAAGATACATGGTCCCTGCATGTTTGTAGATGCTACTCTGTTTTTAGAAATATCAGCTCTGAATATTAGAAGGGAGAAAAAACAAAACGAAAACAAGCAAAATCCCCAAACGATCAAGCTCTGTTTTCCACAGTAAGTATTACCCAAGTCCTCAAAGCTGAAGGCTGAAATTTAACACATAACCTGATATATAACCTTCTTTTGGGCATTAGACATTTATATACATGCAATGTACATGCATGTCAAAGCTGACTTTTATTCTTGGGTAGGAAATAAAAGCTACTATTTCAGTGCATTAGTGCATCAAGTCCTGATTGTCTCAAGCTGTTGAGGAGCAAAAGAGACTGTAAGCTGACTGCAGTCTTGATTGCAATAGGAAACGATTACGTATGTCAACATATTTCTTCTGTGTGCCTTTTTTTTTTTTCTCCTCCTATTTCAACATTTACCTTTGACCTATACATGCTATAACTGGCAATTTTCAAGATCTCAACTCCTACCGACAGTGCAGGCAAAGAATGAGGAAAAGAGAGGAATAGCCCAGCACCTGTTTCTCTCCACCCGAGTTCCCAAACGTGTGGCGGAGGCCATTCTGTATGACATTTGAGATCCCTTCCATGCTGAAGCGCTAAAGGCAGTGAAAACATGGCAGAGAGAAAAAAGGGACAGAGAAAAGTTCAGGAGACTGTTAATGAGCATTTATCGAGACTACAAAAAGAAAGACGAATGACAACAGCAAGCTGTAAGATGCATTTCAGTACATTTCTGTTTGTTCATTAATAAAGCCAGCTAAACTGCTTTTATGCCAATATTTAAATAAGGAAAATCTTCACATGGAAGTCCCAAAATTTCAATTGTATTGTTCAGTATGACTTCTACTTTAGAAATGTTTTCAGGGTCTTATTTTTAAAAATATGAAGTAACATTTTTCATAGTTTAGTTTTCAGAATGGTCTTTTTAAAGTTAATGTTTGAGCAATATACTTTTAGAGCTAAAACTGACACTAGTTTTTCAGATTTTAAACACCTATCAGACACACTGCTTAGAAGCTGTCACTCTCATCTCTACCACTTGGAAGATTTTTTATGCTTTTTTCTTTATGGAGAAAACAAACATAAAACAGAGCCAGACATTCTAAGGTCTTGCATGAGATACCAGTTTCAGCAGCAAACAAGAACTCAAACAGAGGCTGTAAAGCTACTGACAGGCACACCTCAGCATACCCATCTGATGCTGTATTTTCAGGAAGGAGGAATAAAGTGTGCTGAAATACAATATTACTTTGTTTTTTTGAACACAATGAGATCAGTAAGTAAAGACACAGACATTCTAAAGCCATTTTAACTCTATTAGGATATTCTACTTAAAGTAACTGGTATCTTCAAGCCCTGAATAATTGTAATTGCCCCCAAAAATGTGCCCTTGTGAAATGATGAAAAAAAATATTTTAAGTACACAAAAGCCCATAGCCCGTATCAAGGAAAACAAATGATAAAATCTAACTCTATTTGTCAAACTTCAAATTCAGCATCTACAGCAAATGTGAATATGATCAAATATGAAATTGATACAACTTAGAAGCATTTCTGAAAATGAGTTATTTTTTTGGTGGTGGTTGGCTTAAGGCAGTGCTCAAGAAGTGAACCTTGCATATCTATTTCTGTGTGAAGCTTCAAAAATCTGTATTTAATAAGAGTGGAAGCTATTTTCAAAGGAACTTCACATGCTGATTACATAGGAACTAGTCAGTTCAATCCACCTGAAAAAGCAGATGATCTGACCTGTACCTTGAAGCAACTGAAATTAAAGTCCTATAATGGACCTGCAAATATTGATACTTCAAAGCATCAAGTTTCTAAACTTGGGATAAACTATTTGTAAACTACTCTGATCCATTTAAAGTTTCAAAGTATCTATTTTTTTAAATTAGAAAAACACTTTTTGTTTTTCCATGATTAGAAACCAAAAAGGAGTACATTTGAACTTTTCAATTTGTTCTTGCAAAGAAATGAAATTTTTTTTATTGTTTTCCAAAAATAATTTCTTTGCACAAGTCTACCAGAACTTAGGTACACAAGGGATGACTTTTCATTATGCTTGGTATTGGTTTTCAAATCTTATAGAGATATAGAAAACAGGAGGATAAAACTCTCTTATAGCACCCTCCTTAAGATTCAGCTTAATTGGTCTTAACATCACAAAACTTAAGACCCTAAGGGCCTGCCTTCATACAGATCTTGCAACACTTCAGAGTTCAGAGCACATATGAACCTTTAGCTAACAGCAGGTATGAGATAAAACATCTTAATTTCTAAAATTAACTTCCTAACTGAGTTTTTTTGTTTTGTACATACAGTCACCTAATGCTTTGTTTGAATGACTATCGTAATGCACCAAGCTACAGAAATCACATTGTTTGAGTTCTGAGGTAGCAGAATGATGAAGACGAGCACAATTCCTTGTGTGAATACAAGTCTATCAAGATGAACCGCTTAATTTCAGGAAAACAATTTCTAGATCCTAATGGTTAGTAAATGCCTAATGGTAAATAAATTTGTAATGGTAAATAAATGCCTAGAACTTAATGGTTAATCAACCAGGCCCATGTTGTTCTTCCCTTTTCACAAGTCTCGAAAGAAATAACTGGTCCAAGATCAGCCAGGAAATTAGAACTAATTTCTCCAGACCTTTCTTCCAGAGAATACAGACAGGATCAAAACTACATTTGGGTTACATCACAGTTATTTAATTCTTTAAAGTTTAGACAAAGATTCCAAAGAATTAAAGTTTATTTAAAAACATTTATCCTTTACACTTTGAAAGATCATTTTCTGAAATGTTCTTTCTGGGACTGCCAATAAACTGATCATATTTTCTGCATCCTATCATACATAGAAATTCTATCATTCTCAGCAATTATAAGAATGCATTTTCATTGGGAGTCTTGACCTCAAAAACCTAGTATCTCAATGAAAATTATACTGGGTAGACAACAAAAAGTTGCATCAAGATAATGGCCTTATTTCTTTCATTTTCGACCTCCTATCATTCAAATTTGGTCTAAAGGACTTCATTCCTTTGAGAACATAGTAACAAAAGGAAAAACAAAACAAAAAAAATTCTCTCTCAGTACTTTTGCATTACACTTCAACCTCTCTCCTCACTCTCAGAGAGGGTCAAAACAAGTTTGTTACATATTTCAAGAGATCCAGCCCAAGATTTTTTCGGTTTCTCTACACAAAATTAATATGGTGTATCAATATTGATACAGACTACATCAACAAAAATGAATTTCTTGCAAGTCTAACACTACTATATACAGTACAATTCCCATAGTAAAACCAAATACACAAATGTGTTTGCTTTGTCTTATAATGGAGCATATACAACAGTGCAACCAAAGACACTTTCTACAAGAAGAGCATGCTGATTCCAGGCTAAACTGAAAAGAACAAAATTTCTTTTCGGAATATGAATTAAATGTTATATAAACGTGTGAAAAACAGAATCTCAATAGAAAGAGCACGAGTCTCAACTGTGTATGAAAGCATGGGTGAAGGTCTAACAATATGTTGCTATATAGGAGTATTATTTTTCCTTAGAGAAAGACAAAAAACATTTTGAATGCATATATATAGTTACAATGCTATTCTTACCGTGCCAGGCATATGACCTCTTTCCTGTTTGCCATTTTGAGGACTACCATTTTTCAGCTTCTTTTTCTTCTTTGCTGTTTCTTTGTGCTCTCTCTGTTTATTCTGCACTTCGATGAGGACAGAAATGAAGCTGTTTTTCACTTCCTTCTCAAACTCCAACTCATCTCGTAATGCCAACTGCTGTACCAGTTCCTCGGAATAATCCTTAATGGCAGTCTCAATTTCTTCTAGCAGTTCATTTAACTCAGCAACAGACAATCTTTTTACTCCTACAAAAGTTCATATAAAAGCAATCTGTCAGGATTTTAAGCATGAGAACACTTGCAGGAATTTCAAGAAATTTCAATTGAGTGTGATACAGGTTGTCTAGGTGCATCAAAGAACGTTCTTTTCATTGACATTTGAGAAATAGTAACTCCCAAAGACCTGGTTACACTAAAGAGTATAATCTATTTAAGGACATCCCATAGATGGTAGTTGGTTATGATTAATTAGCCCAGTAAATTTGTTACAAAATTGTTAAAAGGAAAAACCCGCAGACAAACACTGGAAAACACAGATAAGCTTACAAACTATTATAAAGCATAGATCTCCAAAGTATCAAAAGGTAGCAGATAAAACACTATCTCATCCCTCAAATTATAACAGCGGAACTCTAGGCAGAAACCTCCTTTTCACTGATTTACTAAAGGAGAAGTGGTGAATCTTGTTAAGGTAATTCTCTGACAAAGAGACACAATTATCTTCAGAGTAGTTAAAGCCTTAAACCCTGTTACAGCAATATATCAGTATAGGATACTTATAGTTCTAAGTCTCAAATAATTTGAACTATTTGCTGCCTGTATTGTCGCTTAAACTATTCTAAGAATGCAGCATGTGGGTTGTGACTTCTCCTTGTAATACTGCATCTTGGCTGTCACAGTCACTGCCTACCATGCTTAGTCTCACCACAGCAGTAACTTTTTGCAAATTCAACTCTGATTACCAGCACTAGCAATGTAAACCGAAATGTGAAAGGGGGGAAGACAGTGGTAAGATTAGCTGATGCCCTGTGAGTGCAAGTAGCAGAAAAGGCACTACAGTCTGTAAGGTTCAGTACACTCTGTAGTAAAAATTAATGTGAGTAAATGCAAAAGCAATTGGCAGAACAGCCCTAAAAACATTTTTCTGTGCATTTAGCATGCATAAGTTGTGTCTCTCCTGTTTGACAGCTTGAAAGAATTTTAGGTGAATAGCCTAAAAATCAGTTGTTCAAAAAAGAGAGAGGCAATTGTTTATGATAGACATGCTGGTACAATCACAGCCTATAAAAGGGCAACACAGAAATTACCTGGTGCAGTGAATGAGGACAAAGTGATTCAAATCCATCTGACTACTATATAGAATCAAATGCAGAAGACTATGTGGATTATACCTTAGGTCTATAGGTTAAAGGACTCATTTGTGGAACTAGAATGATGGCTTTATTTTGGAATACTTTAATCCCCATACAAGAAGAGGATAAGCACAAGCTTTGATTTCCCGCTCTCAGTTCTAAAGATCAGGAGCTCTGCCTTGTCCTAAAAATCCATAGTGAGTTTTGTACACAAAATAGGTAGCAAGAGCTCTCTATAAAAGAAGATGTGAAAGCAGATCATGAGGAACTGGTGAAGAAAGGCAACACTATCTGTCCATGTAACTCAAGGGATCGGTTGGTCAAAACTGGCATTTCAGCCACAAAGATGCAAGATGTACTCCTAAGGCAAGGCAAAATAAATATAATATGGCATATAAAGCAAGCTTGATTAACTCAAAACCTAAGGTCATATGGAATGGTCAGGAAAGCAGGTGATCCTCTGGAATAAGCTACTCTCTGTTTTCACATTCCTGAAATGTGTGTTCTGAGTCACCTAAGAGATCAAACATGAACATGGAATCTCCTCCATAAAACTGAAACAGCAGAAACTGCAGATTAGGTCACAGAAGGTCAGAAGTCCTCTGTATCATCTGCAGAATTTATTGCTGGGCTAGTCTACAACAAAAAACCACCAGACTTCCTACATCACACCATGGGTACATTGCATCAGAGATTGATAGCAGATACTTTGTACCAGGTTAGTTAGCTACAGGTTTCTTTTAATTATGTAATAAGTTGGATTATATTTAAATAATAAACATAGATTCTCTTTTTCTTTTGCATAAGAAAAATCAGGTGTTCCTCCTTAGACCTGTAAATATAAAGTGTTTTTTTTTCTTTTTTTTTCTTAAAAAAAAAACACACACCTAAACAACTGCTTAAGTTTTTTAAAGAATAGAAGGGAAAGACAGAAATGGTCAAGGTGTTTACATAGAAAAAGCAATAGTTTTGTTACTTCTATGTTACTGTGTATCAAGACAAGCTGCAGTGATTGAAAACTCCTACCAAACACCACCACCTTCATCTACAATGCAGCTTTCCAAGACCTTTATCTCCCTAAGCGCGAATAACACACTGCTCTCAAGAAGTGGGTGCAGCGGCCAGGATGGCGTTCGGGATCAGGAGCGGCTTGTGTGGATAACGGTGGGTTGGGGCCATTCTCTGGCGGGACCGCTCACGTCTCACGCCGCAGAAAAAAAAAAAATGTCGCAGGCCCTGGTTCTCATGGGGGACTTCAACTACCCTTGACATCAACTGGAAGGACAACACAGCCAGGCACAAACAGTCCTGGAGGTTCCTGCAGTGCGTTGATGATAACTTTTTGACACAGGTTGTGGAGGAGCCAACGAGGAGAGGTGAGCTACTGGACCTCATGCTAACAAATAGAGAGGGACTTGTAGGAGATGTGAAGGTGGGGGGTAGCCTCGGCTGCAGTGACCATGAGTTGGTGGAGTTCAGGATCTGATGAGGAGGAGGCAGGGTGGTAAGTAGCCTTGCAACGATGGACTTCAGGAGGGCCAACTTTAGCCTCTTCAGGGACCTCCTCAGAAGAATCCCATGGGCTAGAGCTCTAGAAGGTACGGGGGCCCAAGAGAGCTGGTTAGTTTCAAGTGGCACTTCCTCCACTCCCAGCAACAGTGCATCCCTATGTGTAAGAAGTCAGGCAGAGGGGGCAGGAGACCTG